CGAAAGTCTGTCCTATCTGTACAATCGAATAAATGTCTCCATTAAGGCCGGTTCTCACACGCAGCGAAGCGCTGAAGTAGCGCTGCTCACGTGTCGTGAGCTGCTTTTCGTCTGCCATGAGCAACAGTTTTGACGGTGCGACACAAAGCTGGTGAAAGCTCCCGTCAGCACGCGCTTAGCGCTAGGTCAGCGCTATGCTAGTAGCCCTCTGCTGCATGTGTGAATAGGCCTTTATGGTAAAGCGATCCTGCCAGGGTCTGCAAAACACAAAAAATAAGCCATCGGTAGAACTGGCGTTTTGCTCGATACGACTGAATATCAGGTCTCCGTGCTGCGTAACAAAGTAAGCAACCATGGTGCCAAAAAGAATAGAGCATGGCGCGTGCTTTGGAAGCTAGAGAACGCGCTCAAAATAAAACACTTTCTTAAGCCGCAGTTAATAAATACACCATAAACAGAAGTACTTTGACATACCTTAATCGAGTTCCCTTGTCTTTTGACTTCAGAAGAGATCAGGTGCAGTGTTAATGCACCGCGAATCCAAACCGGATCCCGCAATGATCGGAGACGACCTGCTTCAAAGTCCTGTCGAAGGCTATACTCAAAAGAGGTGCTTTTCAAACAAAGACCCCTTCATGATTTTCCCGACGGGCCCCATCGGGCCTACCCCCCGCGTGAGCGAGGAATGCGGGGTGGGCGGTTGGTGGGAAAGGAAAGGGAAATCTCTGTTCCCCGAAAATCTCTTGTCCCTCTTTCAGTACACACGACACACGTACACACCAATGCCCGAAGGACGGGGAAGGTCGAAGATCGCCATTTTCAACACGCCGGTGAAGTGACGCACAAGCAAGCACGTTTTTTTTTCTCTCTCTCTCTTTCTCTCTCTTCAGTTTTCTCGGGGGCCTTTTTTTTTTTGTTTTTTTTTGTTTGCATTTGTTTTGTATTAGCAGGGTGTTGCCATGAATGACGTCCGGGCGCGGTTCGTTCATGGTTGTTCATCTGGAATGCTATCTGAAACATCAACGACGATGGCATGAAAGCGTCTGGATACTGCCCCTGAATGTGCTTTTTGAGTGGAACGTGCCGTGCATCAAGTGTGTTGATGCGGATTTTGAGTTCGACATTGGATGATTGGACTACCAAGAAAGGTTGGTTACGGGGAGACGCAGAGACGAGGCACGAGCTGTTCTCAGTAACTCAGTTTTAGCGATTGAAGTGACCATTTATTAGGGAGTTTTCGTAGATCGTTCTCGCCGTCCCGCAAGGCCCTCCGCAACCCGCTACGATAGCGGGAACTCCGCAGTCAAGCCTATCGCCGCGCAGGCACAGTAGCAACTTTTTCGTTGCGGAACGCTTATCGGAGGGGGCAGCGCGGTCTATGAAAACTTCCTATTCTGACTGCGAGACTCCGGTGTTGAAAGCGCGTCTTCGACAAACTCTTTAGTTTCATTCAAGAAAAAAAAAAGTGTTAGTATTTAGAGGTGTTGCGTTTGATAAATTTTTTTTTTGCGCGAAGGCAAATTACGTGAATGGGACTTGTGAAATGCCAACAGATAATTTTTGACGAGATAGTTGGGTTAAGTAGATTCAACACATTCGTTAACTAGCATTCACACAACGCGCGAAGCTCTACCATGTAATGTCTGAACGTTCGTGGCACATTAAACAAATTCGCTAGTTTCGTCCGAGTTTTTTCAACACTTTCAGCCGTGCTGGGCAGAGTCTCCGCGATCCCCAAGACAAGCGAAATATCACCCGTCCTCCTGGCGAACATTCCGTTTGCCTTCGGGGACTAAATCCTACAAATGCACCCTGTCTGAGAGGGACTAACGGCTGCTTTTGTTCGCGCACGCCGATCGGTTAGTCCCAGTCGAGCGCAGTTAGTCCCCAGCTTTTGCGCTCGGTACCTAGCTTGAACCAGATGGTCCTTACGGGGAGCAACTGGAGGTTCAGAGGACGAAATGCTAACGTTAGTCCCTTGAGGCCAACTTTTTTCTTAGAGTGTATGTGCCATAATTTTTTTCTTTTTTTAAATTCAGTGCTTGGTTATTGCATCAATTCTGAAATGCAGTAGGGGACTCCTGGCTCTCAATCAAAGAAGATTCGCTTTACTCAAGATCAGAAAGTTTAAGAGCCTCTTGCTTGATATTTGCTCCAAACGAACGGCAACACTGTTGTCCCGTAACGACATGAAACTTGAAGCACGGTGAGGTAAGCGGCCTCTTGATGCGATGGAGGAGGTGGCCAGAGCCATACAGAACGACGTGCCACAAGCTGTCCAACGGAGAGTCAGAAGCGCGTGTCTCAAAGGACCTCCTCCAGGCAGAAAAGACCGCCATCATTTCTATGCATAGTCCAAAACATCAGATACCTCTGCCGCGCATGTGTCTCTCATTGAACACATATCATCAGCAGCTTATTCTGCCGAGCTGCGTTAGTCACTTTGGTGGCTCTGAGGCAAAGCGCCAGCCTCCAGATACCCAGGTGGCGAGTTTGAATCCCGGCCGAGGTGCCCGCAATATGACGGTGGCTTATGGCGGAGAAGACGCCATATCATCCAGATTTTGACTGCATGTCCACAGACCTTCAGGTGGTTGATATTAATCCTCAGTCCTCCACTGGGGCATGCCAGATACTCCCGTTGGTTCTGCACGCAAAACCCTTAAATTTAACTTTTGCCGAGCTGTGATCTGCAAGAATGCATGCTACGTCCAGGGGAGACGAAAAAAGTCAATAAAGAACCTGAATTTGTCAGAAAAGAGCACCAAATGGAGATTAATTTATTTCATCCTAAAGGCAACAATATTGATAAGAGCTCAGCACAAAGCAATCCAAGGAGACATCCACCCACCTACTGTATGTTTTAAATTAAACTGTATATGATTAACAGAAACGCACAATTGTGAGGCTGCGTCACACATTGTCTCAATGATGCCTACTGCCAAGAAAAAATGTAAACAGATACATTTGATATTTCGTGTGACAAACACAAGAAATAGCGTATAACGTTGCTGCTTACAGCTGTGTGATGGGCCTGATGGCACATAAGGGGTCAGCTTGCTCGTCTTGAATTGGATCGTCACCCTGGTTTGTTGCTGCGTTAGAGAATCAAAAACAAAAGGGTCACGTGTCGAAGCTTATTCCCATGGAGGGCAGAGGTTGACTAAAAGAACTCGTGTCTTTCTTTCGTGTCTTTCTGTTTTTGTTTGCGCCGGATATCCTATGACGCATCGCGCTCTCCGTTCGCTTCTCTTCGAGCGCTTGCTCGAGTGCACCGTTTCGTACAAAATACAAACGTGCGATTATCATTTACGGTTATTATCCGTCATGCTTGACTCATTTCCGAACGAAATTTGAATATTTCACTTTTTGTTGCCTTACCCCTTTAAGAACGCTTGAAAATGAAGATAGAAATTTTTAAATAAATATTTTAATACAATACTAAGTCTGGCTACATTATTTTTTTTTCTTTTTCGAAAACAAAATACTGCGTTTTTTTGTAACACCACTGGTTTATTTTTTGTACCTTGTGTTACGCCGCGAGGAAGTCGTTGGCACCTGTTATAGCAAATATATTTTGTTCATATATTGATATTCTGGTTGTCAACGTTTATTTTTTTACATTTTGTTTCAAATGTTGATACAAAAAAAAGTCGTTTACCTCACGCCATAAAATTGTTAAAACAAATAAATCCGGAAAGAAACTACGGTGCCGGAAAGCAATGTCCCCAGTCGTACAGAACATTCGCTCTCTTTTTTTTTGGTTTGTTGATCAAGTTCTTCTATGTCACTAGAAAGGTAGAAAGGCCATGGTCATATACAATATTAGATAATATAAACATTGTAGCCCTTATGTTCAAACAGATAAATGTCGTGCAGCCGAAATCATCACAAGAGAATTGTTTCTGATGCATTGATCGATATATTATTTGCGGGTTAGCTGTATTTCTGGTTTCTTACATGTTCCAAACTAGGAATCCTAGGCAGAGGCTAACGTCTCAAAGATGGTTTTAGAAGTTAGGATATGGAGCAGATAATACACAATAAAAGATGGACTTACTTTATAGAAAAAGTATCGCACGAAGGCGTTCATTCAGATTGCATACTTCTTTCTTTTAACCGCTAAATCTTCATCGTTGTTATATTTCAGACCTGTGTGTCATTCAGGTATATTCATAGCGTGTTACTTGGGTTATAGACATCTTCGGCTGTGGTTTTTATCGTGCAAATTTTTAAAACAATTCAAAGTCGACTCTCTTGAAAAAAAGCTGACTCTTCGTAAGCTAATAGTGTTGTAAATTCAGTAAATCATAGATCATTACCATACTCTATAAATTGTTGCAGAATGTTGCAGAAAACAACGGCGGCAATAAAACTATTTCACTGGTGAAACTTCAATGTTTAACGCAGGCTTTTTGAAGTCCGTTTCGTTCAATAAAGTTTATCATATATCTTACGTAAACGTCTCACGCCGATTCTGCTGCTTAATAAAACATGGGTAAACCTGCACCTCGCTCTGATTGGGCATGCATATGTGTAAAGTACCGCCTCTGACCCGTTTTAAGCATATACTTATGCGAATGTAGGGGAAAAACGCATTACAAGCTCTATACAGCCAGGGAAAAGACAAGAAGTGTTTTCTGTACAAATAGCATCCGTTGCCGATACAAGTACCGCTGTTTATATCCGGCGCTGCAGCGGATATTCACGACTCCACGTGGGAGGATATTCCGTTTATTTTTTGTTAAGTTACATCTTTTGAACAAAAAAATCAAAACTGAGTTTCAGAAGTAATAGTAAGTACACGCGTGATTCGCAACTAAGGCTAGTGGCAGGGCTTCAACCCATATTTATTTTCCGTATGCGGGACTATATGAGTTGATGAGTAGCATTGACTGTTCGGACGCGATCGAGCAGCGCGGTTGTAAACTTTTAGCTTAAAAGAGGTGCTGATAGTATTGAAATCGTTTTCTTACTCGTTAAGCGAAAAGTGATAACATATGGCATTATTAGGGGTCGTTATGGCAGTCGTTATCTGCTTCTTTTCTTTTGCCGGGGTTGTTGGAACAAACGACTGCAGCGACCCGAGAGGCCATCTAGCATTTAAGGTATGAACAGTGTTTTGTGAACTAACGTACTTCTATAGTGTGTAAAATGCGCGAGTGCGTTTTAGCTGTGTCTGCTGCGTAACTAACTATCGCTATTATATTTTCTAGACTTTGCAGTCCACAGATGAAATCCACATGTTGTACACTGACTTTAATGCATCTGTAATTGTGTGCACTTACACCATGACAACTAGTGTAGACAGCAGCACAATATCCGTAAGTGGCAACTTTATATACCAAATCAACAATCTTCCTGTCGTGTAAGTACCCTGATTGTTTGTTATTTTTTACTTAGCTATTGCTCCCTATTATGTTCTGTATCTTTGTGAGCTCATTGCACGACGTTCTAGCCGTCGAAGCAAGAAATGCGTTCCAAGTTTTATTCTGCAATATTGCCGCGAACACAATACTTTTTCTTTTCACAAAATGTTTGTCACGACAGTGGCAGAGGTAATGGGAACGAAGACGCCATCATTCAACAAATGCAAAAAATAAAAAAAAATAAAACCTCCAATCAAAAAGTGACTATGAATGTGTAACGTCTTATAATGGGACGTGGTCATCTAAACAAATTTAACTTTATTCCGGAAAGGGTACGATAATGATTCAGCAGGAAAGTAGTTTATAGCCGTGTCCAAATGACACACTGATATGTGTATCTCTTCGAATTGTTTTTCCATACCTGGATTGGCGGCACGAAAGTTATAAGCCCGATTCACGAAAAGAAATAGATCACTTGAGCTTTTAGCAACGTGCACACGCGTGTAAGTTTATTTAAGCATTAAATTAAAACAGTGAAGGGGATATTATATATAATGCAGCAACTCCCTCCCTCACCACCGTGAGGAACCCCGAAGGTACCATTTTATTCGCTTTAAATTTTCTCACCTTCCTCTCGTCTTTGGGCTAAGCTTCGTACGGTGCGAACAAAAAAAAAGCGTGATTATGATGGAAAATATGATCATTTGAAACAATACTGAAAACAAGTGTGTCTTTATATCTTAGCTACACTGATCCTGTTACCACGAAAGTCGAAAACTGCGAGGGCCTTATAGGTGTATATAACGGAACAAGTAAGTGTAATAATTTTGCATTAATCTTTGCACTTTTCAGTCTCTGCGTACAAATGAATTGTGGCCATGCGCTTTTTTAGTTTCCCACGTATTATAGGTTTGGGCTAAAATTAGATTTTTGGCTATATATTTATGCCATTGAATATTTAGACGGTGGTTTAAAAGGCGCAAAGGACTAAAAAGAGATGTAGGGGACATGATTCAATTTGACAGTTGTAAGTAAGCGCTCTGTCCTGTCCCCTCCTTCTCTTCTTAGTCCTTTGCGCTTTTTAAACCACCGTCTAGATGTTCAACCAACTTGCCTCCCAATTATTTTGAGGCATTGAAAAGCCAGAAAAAGCCAGGGTATAACAAAGGTTACGTGTTTTCGTAAAAACTGATAAAATTTTAAGAAAAAAAAACTTGCCGGTAAAAGTTAGTTAAATCGAATGTATCCGACAAAGTTCAATAAAACAACAACAACAACAACAACAACAACAACAACACGATAAACATAGTATTCTGCATATTAGCTTGGTCAGAAACGGGTCAGTAGCCCTGTGGAGAGACCTCTCCAGTTTCCTTTAAAATCTCGGTTTATTGAAGAAAAGACGTTTCACCGCTTGTCTCGTCAAGTTTTGTTCAAGACAACCGGTCATTGTAATATTTAGTCGGGACAAAAATCACTGTTCTAACTTTTAGTTGGAACATTTTGAAGGAGAGCAACGTTGTTTTTCCATGACAGTGAAAGCTATATGACCATAGAAGGGAGGTGTGCGGCTGAGAATTTTATCTTACCAGTACAGCCACCCAGCCGCAGAGCGGAGTGGTGGAATCGGAGGGTGGGAAAACGAGCTGCCCAGAGAATAAGTCAAGAATTTTAATGTTTTTGACGTATCGAAGTTTATTCGAGCAATACTTGTGCGCAATCTGTGCATATGCACGTCGTAAACAAGGCCTAGTGAGGCACGAGCTTATATACGTACCCTCTCATGTCAAACTTCTGGCATATAACACATTAATAAGGTCTCGGTTGGAGTAGGCTTGCAGTATATGGGATCCTTTTACGAAGAAAGGCATTAACAAGCCTGAGCAGGTCCAAAGACCAGCAGTCCGTTTTATATATAATCGCTATCACCGGCACGACTCTCCTACCGAATAAATTAGAATGAGCAACATCATTCCTCTAAAATCCCGCTGAAAGCTCGTTAGAGTGAATGTAATTTTTCAGCATTGGTGTCTCAAACTTCGCCTTGAGTCTTCATCCTACATTCAGCCACTGTCTACTAGACAGACTAGACATGATCGCACAAAAAGAAAAGAAGAAAACCTCCCACATTCGCTCGCACAAATGCTTTTAAAGACTCCTTTTTCCCCAGAAGTCTACAAGATTGGGACTCCATGCCTCCCTATATTTTTACTTCGGACATTGTTCTACGATCAAATGAACACCTTTTTAAAGTGTAATTTGTATTTTATGTGGTTTATGTGTATTTAATCACTTCCTTTTTCTTTGATATAAAAATTCTGAAAATACCATGTGAAGAAAATCTGCATCGACTCCTGCTTGGGCCGGATCACTGGCCTGTAGTGTCTTGTAAATAAATAAAATAAATAAATACATTTTTATTATGGAATAGTTATAATTACCCATTGCACGGGCGCAAATTCCCAACTCAGCGAAAGAAATTTTATTCCATATAGGTAATACCTCATGAATCTAGGGCATGTTTGTGTGCGAATATTTGTTTTTATACTGAACTAAAAAAAAAAATTGGGCACACACCAAATTAAATTTTAGAATTTTGAAAAATTGGAAATTGATCATAAATAACCTCTAATAAACTTCGAATGCAGTGCAAAAAAAAAAAGGAAAAAGAAAGACGTTTACAAAGCTCTGTAATGCGAAATTAGAGCGCAGCTCTTGAGGGGGAGAGGAGGGTATAGAGGGGAGGGTACGGAGGGAAGAAGATGCCCCTCCTCCTTCTCCGCACTCTCTCCTCCTCCCGTCGCCCTCCTTTCTCGTCGTTCTTGAGGTCGTCCTAGACGCCGTACTTGGCGTCAATCTCTAGGACGTCGTCCTATACGCCGTCGTAAAGGTCGTCCTGGAGGTCGTCCTCGACGTCATTCTTGACGTCGTCCTCGACGTCCTCCTAGACGCCGTACTTGACGTTGCCCTCAATATGTGCAGAGCAACGCATATGCTTCGTCACGGAAACCGTGAGGCCTTTAATACGTGTAGAAACATCACTCGAAAACATTTAACCTGTGGGACTGTAATGCATTTCTACACGTAAGCAGTTTTAAATGTCCTCCTGCAATATTTTTAAAATAGTGTTATGTTTGTTGTTTTCCACGCAGAAGGCCTTGAGCTCTTTGTGGACAAGTTACAATAAAATTATCATTATTTTTTTTTTTTATTATCAACGCAGGCGGAGAGAAAGTGTCCCAGGCAGTGATGTACTCAAATTTTGAGACCTGCAATATCAACTTTAATATCGAACAACAAGGTAAGATAGCAACACAGATGCTTATCCATGTGATTCTAATAAACATTCCGCTCTTCATGACACTTGACAGATGAGGGTGAGAAATCGGCTTCCTATATTGTAATTTGCGACACGAATTCCCGGATGGGAAGGGAGAGAGGATTTTCAGTAACGAAAACAAATTTATTTAGGCGTGTAGACGATATTTTTTTTTATTTCACAATTATAATGCCACCCCGTACAGCGTATTATATTGGCTACAAGTTTAATATTATAGGCATTACTTTTGGTTGTTAGAGCACGCAGCGGAAACTACGAAGTATTTCGTGGCATGAGAATAGTCGCTGTCCTGAAAGGTGGTCAGGGTGATAATTATACGGCATTGGTTTATGGCAAGGGCAATTGTAAGAATGATGCAATTAACTCAAACAATACATAAATGCACTGCATCGATCTACCTAAGATCTCGAACGCGCATTTAATATGACTTTTGCTGAACAGATGTGCTGTACGTGTCGAGATAAATGGTAACCCACTTACTAACGAATAGACGTGTGTGTGCAGGCAGTCAGATGAGTTGATTTAAGCAAAGACATAGAGACAGTAAACAACAAAGAAGCTTCTAAGACCATGCCTGGGATTGGATTGTCTCAAAAAAATAAATCAGGAATCTATAGTCCGTCGCAACTAAGGATGCGAAGAGAAGCACGTCCCGCAAAGCTCTCCCCTCCCCATAATTGGTGACTTCATCCGCTCCACTAGCCTCCTCTCCTGCCTTGGCTGCACTAAAATGGAAGTGGTTAATGTGTTTTCTGGAAGGGGCTTGTCCTAATGTTATCTCTCATAACAGGCTGTGTCACTGTTTACAAATTTTTCCAACCAATAATTTACGAATCTTGGCCCGAGTTTTGAACAAATATTTGAGCAAGAGCACATTATTGGTTCTTCAAACTCTGGCATGTTAATGTGCCAGATTTAGGCTGGTGATTTGAATCTGTTAGATAAGCGTTAATATCTGGACAAACAAGTTATATAACCCTCGGTCAACATTTCAAAAATTCACAAGCGCAGTTCGAGAATCATCACTAATTTAAAATGTTTCGCCATAGACTACTTGGAGGCACAGATTTTTTTGTCTTAAGGGTAATGAAGCACGTAAGCGAGCTAGTTTTGATGACTCTATTTGTTTAGCATTACCCAGAATACAATCGACATTAAGGGTTACTTTGTGCATCACACGAGGTTTACATTTTTCCGAGTGCCAGTTGTGGGCTTACGAAAGCGCCACGAATGACGATTTCCAGGCATGTCTTGCTACTTACAAAACGTTACGCGACGGAGAAATCTATGAGGTCTACAGCTCCACCTGCCTGACATGAAGTGTCTTGAAGACAAACACGTTTAACTTCGGTGTTAGTTATGCCACTGTATCTTCTGATTACCTAACTTTGTTTCCACTGTACCAGCTCATTTTTGTGTTTATTTGATTTAACACACAAGAGACCAAACCAGCTCTAATACCACTCTCTTTTCAAATAATAAAATATACGTGTGACCTGTGTTTACTGTCTGCACTCCTCACTCTGTATAATCATATACTTTTTATAAGTTTTCTCGATAACTATTGAGATGTCGGCAACCACTAAATCTTGTTGCGTTTTTACAAAAAAAAAAATGATGTAGAAAAGAAAGCTACGTATAGCTTCCATTAAATGAAGGGGTAGCGGTTCAGACCAAATGGCAAATTTTTAGTGCTTTCTGTTTATGTCTCAAATGCTATAATCCAGTTTCAAAAATATTCAGCGGCAGAATGGGGCCCATTTTCTGCATACGACACCATTCATCTCGATGCATTTATGAACTTCGTAGGCGGCATTTCACATATGAAAATATTTTTTAACATATCATAATGTTTTAATCAGATGACGATAAGCTCTCAAACTTAGGCATCTTTCTCCAACCGCTAGCGCTAAACTTAGACGGTGAATGAGAGTTAATGTGTAATTTATTTTTTTGCGACGAAAAAAAAAAATAGTTGAAATATTTTTCGCGGCCACTCTGCGTGTATAAAATTGAAGATATTGCCCTTTTTTAATTAGCTTTTCCTGACGTTGGTACGAGTCAAGGCGGAAATATGAGTGAGCGGGTTCATCGTCAAAAAAGTGAAACAGTGCCCAAAAAGAAAGAGAAACAGGGAGGGAGGGAGAGAGAGAGCGAGCACAGATAATGGGGGGGGGGGGGGGGGGGGAGGTGTATCAGTCGAACTTCTGTCACAAAGTATAGCAGTATTTTGTTTTCGGGCACAGAGTAATTCACAATGACTTGTGTGATTGCTGTAGCCGATATATTTTTAAAGTGACGGCCAATTCATGAAACAAAAATTGCTGAGATTGGAAACAAACGACCTGCACATCCATACAATTCTAGATTTTGCCCCCTAAAAAATGACATTGACAAAATAAAAACATATAAATTCTTGTCTTTTTTGTTTTGTTTTTCATCTTCAATGACGAATGTGGAGTTGTCGCTTCCGAGTTATTTATTTCACATTGTCACATACGCGTTCTCAACTGTCTCTCATTCCGTCGTGAGGCCGATCATTAGGACAGTAGGCTGTCAGCCCCTGCAAAATATAAGCAATATTTAACTTTTAACTATGACGCTTCCTAGCTTGAAAGAAATAAGGAATCGCCGTTGTGAAACCGTGAAAAAAAAAAATTTCAGCCTTTCTGTTTTGGTGAAAAAGGAAGACCAGCGGAGCTGTACAACGGAAAGTAATGGCCGGCCGCAAGTTGGCAAGCCAGAGTGAAAAGGCTGCCGCCATCTATGAGCGACGGTGGCAAACAGATACGTGGCTTGCCGCCGTCGCTCATAGATGCCGGTAGTTGTCCAGAGTTCGGTGTCTTCATTTGTTTACGAGGGACACGATCTTGGGGAAACTAGCCCTTAACAGCTGCGCTGTAAAAGTAAAACCCCCTCTGAGGCCATAAACTTGTCAAACACAAACGTTCGACCGAAGTTTACCGAGTGTGCCGCATTAACTCGCTCGATGATCTCGCCGTAATTTTGTCGCCACTGTCCAATCGGCGCGCTCCACCAACTTTTGGCTCCAGCTTCGCGCATGACGAGCCTTTAGTTCTTGCTTTGCATAATTTCTTATAACGATCTAGGAAGACGTGGCGTACAACGCCGCACACTATGTCGAACAAAATAATAACACAACTTCCATGGAAACTAGACATTTGGAACAACCATACAGCATAAAGAAATATAAAGGGTGTCCCAAGTCAGCAGGCTCGATCTATACTGGACCGTAAGAATTGACGCCTGCACGTAGCAATCTAAGCTTTTCGTCAAAGGTGTAGTTCACAGGTCGTTTTTACCTTGTAAAATTAGAAAGCGTAGCTCAATTTGTGAAAATGTGCCAGGGTGAACGGCGGGCGGCGACGCAGACGACCAAGTGGAGTTGAGGAGTATGTTTCGCGCTCGTATTGATTGACGGAGCTACCTCTTTATCAAGAGTACTCGCGACTACCGTCGTTTCCTAAAATACACAAAATCTTTTTGTATTATACCTATTGTTTAAAAATAAATACGGACAATAAAATCAAAACTTAAATTTAGAAGAAAACATTTGAAGAACGACGGCGCATTTGCTGCTAACGGATTGCGTCTACGTGTTGTCTGCTTTCTTTCGCTGGTCGGCTATACCCACTGATCTCTATGAAAAGTGCTAGATCTTTTTTGCCCGCGCCGTGAATGCGGCCACTGGCGGCCATCTTGATGGTAGAGTTATATTACCTCTAGCCAAGGTGCTGCTGCTGCAGCCACTATCATCCACCATGGTAGACAGCGTTGTGGCTGTTGTGGTGGCAGGCTGCCACCAGCGCATGCTCGGGGTGCCACCCAAGAGGACTTAAAAGCCTGCTTCAACCAGCAGTCCGTGCAGTCGGTGGCGAAGTGCTTGAAACAAGCTCATCTCACGCTCTTGTACTTTTTTTCATCAGGTGAGAGTGCATTCGTAACCATGTTTTAGCTTGTTATTTTCTGCCACCGACTGAAGTGTTGTACCTGCTTTAGTTGTTCAGTATGTCTGGTAGAGCGGAGTGCGTAGCATGTCTGGGAGGTATCGCCGACGATCAAAAGTTTATGTCGTGCTCAGTTTGTAGGAATGGCTATCACTTGGGCCAGGCTTGCGCCGGTATTACCGAAACTTCCTATACCGGCATGGGACAGGTAAAGCGCGATAAGTGGCGATGTAAGACCTGTCGTATACAAGATAACAGGAGCGGTCCTTAGAGCGGAGCAAATTCCTCGCTGAGCGCGTCGCCAGCCAACCCATCAGCCGTGGAGGATCAGATGCAAGCATTTGGCCAGGAACTTGATCTGCTCTCGGCAATGCAAACAAGCATAGACTCTCTTCTCTCACTTCCGGCAAAGGTGGATGAGCTCTTGACGCTGAAACCTACAGTGGAGAGATTAGAAGTCAGCTTGCAAGATATGGATAACAAGGTGGACGGGCTGACGGCAAACTATAACTCTGTGCTAGAGACCGCAACAGAAAACGAAACTAAGATATCTGAGCTCGAAAAAGAACACGGGGAATTAAGTGCGACTGTAAAAGGACAAGCAGAGACGATTCAGGCATTGCAGGAGCAAATCAACAATTCTGAGCAATACGGTCGCCTGGTGAACTTGGAAATTCACAGGCTGCCAAAAACTGCGGAAGAAAATTTGAAACGAATTTTAAGCGATTTGGCAATCAAACTTGGAATATCTAATTTCAAAGACTCGGATATCCAAGCAGCCCACCGTCTTCCTGCCAAGCCGGGGTCAATCCCAATAGCTCTGGTTAAGTTCAGCTCACGTGAACTAAAGGATTGTTGGCTCCAGGCCCGTGGCAAACTGCGTGATCTCGCGCGAACAGCAGACGCGCCAAGGCTCTTTTTCAACGACAATCTCGGGAGACAGAACAGAGAGCTGTTCTGGATGGTCAGGGAACGAGCAAAGCAAAACCAATATAAGTTCACGTGGGTGAAGAACGGGAAGATTTTTGTGAAGAAGAGCGAGAACTCGCTAGTGCTGCGCATTAACCGTGTTGCAGATTTGGACGCAGTTGTTTCAGCACAAGTCATGGATTTCTTTCAATTTCCGAGCTGTTCGTTACTTAAAAATTATTTCGAAGAGCCGTCGAAGTTTTCGTTTAGTTTTTTTCATGTTAATATTAGAAGTATGAGAAAATACTGGGACCACTTCATGATTATTGTTCAAGATTTGGACACTGTCATCGATGCTTTTATTCTTACGGGAATAAATGCTACTGAGGATATGATAACTCAGTTTTCTATTCCCGGTTATAACCGTTTTGCCTACACAAGAAGGTCTGGAAGGGGAGGGGGAATATGCGTGTACTTAAGAAGTATTTGGTTCACAACTAATATCGTGTTAACGATGGCGAATACGGAACACGTAGGTCTGGAGATTAGCTGCCAAGATTTTTCTCTCATTTTCATTGCCATCTATGGGCCCCCGTCCAGCAACGCGAATTTGTTTTTAGAAGAGCTATCTAAAACTTTATCGGAATTCAGCCCAACGGGGCAGTTGTGTTTGTTAGGCGACTTTAATATAAATATAATGGATTCCTCGCGTCATGTAGTGTGTGATTATCTAAACTTATTGGCGACCCACGGTACAGACAGCGTTATACAGGCACCGACGCGGGAGGAATTTTTAGGTGGCAACTTTGTTTCTTCCTGTATTGACCATATTAACCTCCGGATTTTCGACAGCGCCGTGAAAGCGGCTGTAATATCAGAAAAATTGGCAGATCATTATTACAAAGCCTGTCAGGTAAAACCTAACATCAAGGGGAGGGGCTCCAGCACTACGAAAAGAGAAATAACTATTATTGATCAAGCGCAGTTCGATAAAAAAGTGAATGACTACGACTGGGATGGACTTTTAACTTCGGTGGAAGCACCAAGTCTATACGATACAATAGTAGACCTATTCTCGCAATTTTCGTCTTCGTGCAAAAAAAAAGTAATCATTAAAAGGCGCAAGGAGGATCATGAATGGATTACGTCAGACGTCTTAGGTGCTATAAGGTATAAAGATTTTCTCTGGAGACGCTGTAAACGTTCGCCAGGTAATTTAAGTTTAAAGGATGAGTTCAAAATAGCCAGGAACAAGGCGGCCGCCCTGCTCCGTTCTTCTAAACTCAGACATTTTAAGGGAAAATTTCAAAGGCATCGATTCGATACTGCAAAAACATGGGAGTGCGCAAATCGGGTTCTAGGCAGGACTAAAAAGTGTTCTATTGACGATATGATAGACAAATCTTTTGCGCCTGCTACACAGAAAACAATTGACGAATTCA